GCTCCTCCTCCTCATCGGGAACCTGCTGCTGCCCCGCAGCCTCCACTCTCACGCCGCCCAAGCGTCCAGCTGCTCGCCCTCCCACTCCTCGGTGGCCCGCGCCAGCCCCAAACTCGGCGCCTCGCTCCTGCCTTCCGGTCGTCCACGGCATCTTCCCGCTCCCCTCGCCCCCGCCTCCTCGGCCTGCTCCTGCCCCCTCTTGAGGGATGAAAAAACGACCCCACCCTGGGTTACAAGTGCGTGGTCTGTAAACCTCCTGGGAACCCCCAAAGCCTAGAGCCGCCAGGACGCGGCACATCACGCAGGGTTTACCCTGTCAGCCCACAGGAGTTTCAGCGCACAGCGCCTCGTACGTAAACCAGGGTAGGGGCGTCTTTTCTGCTCTTGACCCTCACCTTCGTCTCCGTCGCCTGCGCTCTCTGCGCCCCGCGCCACCAGAGAGAGGCGCCCGCCCACGCAGAAGGCTCGGCAACGGCCGAGCGGCGCGCGCGACAGGGCAGCGAGAGGCCGGACGGCACGGACGCACGAACGAGCGGAACAGCAGGGACGCGAGCGGATGCGGCGAGCAGGAAGGAAGAAACTGGATGCCAGGGCCTCCTCCATCTCCTCCTCCTCCTCCTCCTCCTCCTCCTTCTCCATCTCCTTCTCCACCTTCTTCTCCTGCTCCTTCTCCTCCACCTCCCCCTCCTCTTCCACATCACCATCATCATCATCATCATCATCATCATCATCATCATCATCATCATCATCATCATCATCATCATCATCATCATCATCATCATCATCAACATCAACATCAACATCAACATCATCATCATCATCATCATCATCATCATCATCATCATCATCATCATCATCATCATCATCATCATCGTCATCGTCATCATCATCAGCATCATCAACATCATCAACATCATCAACATCATCATCATCATCATCATCATCCTTGTCATCCTCATCCTCATCCTCATCCTCATCATCATCATCATCATCGTCATCATCATACGCATCAGCATCATCATCATCATCATCATCATCATCATCATCATCATCATCATCATCATCGTCACCATCAGCAGACCATCGTCATCAGAAGCAGCATCAGCCTCATCATAATCAGCATCATCAGCGGCAGCAACATCACCATCTCCATCCTTGTCAGCAGCATCAGCAACAGCAGCAGCATCAGTATTAGCACCAGCCTCAGCATCAGCATCAGCATCAGCATCAGTATCAGCATCATCATCATCATCATCATCATCATCATCATCAGCAGCAGCACCAGCATCATCATCATCATCATCATCATCATCATCATCATCATCATCATCATCATCATCATCCGCATCAGCATCAGCAGAATCATCATCATCAGTATCATCAGCATCATCAGCATCATCATCAGCAGCAGCATCATCATTAGCATCGTCATCATGACCCTCCTCCTCCTCATCCCTTGTCCTCCTCCCCCTCTCCCTCCATAGCATGGCCAGAATCATCACCATCATCAACATCAACATCATCGTCATCATCACCATCGTCACCTACAGCATCCTCATCCTCATCCTCATCATCATCATCATCATCATCATCATCATCAGCATCGTCAGCATCATCATCATCAGCATCAGCATCATCATCATCATCATCATCATCATCATCATCATCATCATCTTCATCAGTAGCAGCAGCAGCAGCATCCTCCTCCTCCTTCTCCCCCTCCTCCTCCTCTTCCACCTCCTCCTCCTCCTCCTCCTCGTGTTCCGCCTCCTCCTCCTCCTCCTCCTTCCCTCCTCCTTTCTCTTCTTTTCCTTCTCCTCCTCCTCCTCCACCTCCTCCTCCTCCGCCTCCTCCTCTGCCTTTCCCGCCTCCTCATCTTCTTCGCTATCAGTTATCATTACCATACACATGTTCATCAGTTGCTTCCTCTTCCTCACTCTCCCTGTCCTCGCCCTCCTCGGCCTCGTCCTGCTCCTCCTCCTCCTCCTCTTCTCCCTCCCTCAAGACATTTGGGCGCTAGTAGCCTTTGGTTTGGCTCGAGACCAAGCCTCGCGCCGTCTCGTGTTGTTTGTTGGGGGGGGCATCGAGGCTACCGCAATTGCTCGTGCAGTCGATCTTGGTGGCCAAAGGCGAGGTTATTTGGAGGCTACGGTCATTTTAGTCGACACGTGCAGTTTGCTTGGCAGGCATATTCTCTGCGTGTTTCAAAGCAGCACCATCAGCGGCAGTATGAGAGGTCTCGATGCTCGCTTGGGGGTCAACGCTGCAGTTGAAGGTCCTGCTCAAGTTCGACCTAGGCTGAGGCAGCAAGGAGTGAGCACACAAGCCTGGGATGTGTTCCAGCTGTACAAGGACGTGGGCTGAGTTCAGACTCCGACAATGGTGATCATCTCGTACATCTGCCCGCGGGCAGCGTCGCATTGGGAAAACTTAGGGTCGCTGCTGCGGAAATAAACGGGGCACATGTCCGACAATGTCGAGAGGAGACTCATGTACGATTGCCTGGCGTTCGAAGCCATCGTTTGGCAGCTTCCTCACGCGACGGCGATTTCCATCAGTCGGCGTACGAACCTCATTCGAATGGGGGGCACAGTTGCGCTTGTGGCATCTATGGGACAGGTGCCAGGGTATCGTCCGAAGGCTTGCGATCATGGACCAGACGAACAATGCATCATCTTCAGGGAGGACACGATTAGGTTGCGAATGCTAGCACTGGCGGTCCGATTGATCCTGCTCAATTCGTGGTAAGTGGCGAAGAGCAATTTAGCCAGCTTGTGCACTGCAGTGGCGCTCAACGGGAGGTAGTTTTCATGGCAGAGTGGGACGGATCGCTAGCTCACGCTTGTGATCTCAATGGTCTTGCTAACGTGCGGGCGAAGAAGATTCCAGCAACACCAGTTGCTACTGAGCGAGAGCAAGTCAGTCTGTTTCTTGGTGCTTACACTGGGACTTACGCTGATTTCAACGAGTTCGCGAAGGACCACAGGGTCAAACAAATCATTGAGGCGCTTGTACGTAGCAATAGGGGGAGCTCCGCTGTGGACGGATGATGGAGTTGCGCCAGGTGTTCTTCAGCCGCACGCCAACCTAAACACGGCCGTGGTGTAGATGTTCGCATCTGCCGTGTGCATGCGGTCGCCACGCAGCAGTCGGCTCGGCAGCGGTCCAGCGGAGGGGCCAGTGGGGTAACTCGTCGTTTTCTGGTATGCGAGGGCGGCACGTTCTCATCGGAGCGTCATGTGCAACAATTTCGATGGTGGCAACGGGGCCTAGAGGGAGAGCCTGGTTGAGCATTTACTCACCCGTCCGTTGCGTTCCAGTATCTTGTTTCTGGCGAAATGGGTTGCAGCTGTTATTCATTGGTGCCAGTATCTCTGTGGGCTATATCGCTGGTTTCATCTTGGCCGATGGAGGCCTGTTTCAGCCTGGCATATTTCAGCTGGCGTGCATTCCCTGTTGGAGGGCTGGTGCGATTTTCTTGTTACTGGTACTCTCTCCTTTGAGTAATTCACCAAGTGCAGTCGCTGCATGTCTTCGGCATCCACTGGCTTTCATGTCAAGCAGTGAGGAAACAAGTCTGTGGCTGGTATTGGCAACGAGGATGTGTGCGGGGGTGACCACCCCGTTTCGCAACTTTTCTGCGGTGGTCATCAGTATTTGGGGTTTGCCCGGTGACCAGTGGCTTCAGCATTGCATGGGCCGCATTGAGTCACTCTCGGTTCAATTCAGTTGTGTTGCAGGTTCGACAGGCGAGGTGCTCGGTCGGGGTTGCCAGAGTACGCTGTTCCTCGAGCTCCTCATTTGCCTGTACTTCGTCTTCGGGTGCCTCTCTCCGTGGGCAAGTTCAGGGGTGGCTTGCGAGATGTGAGATTGTTGACATCGTCGATTTGCTATCTCTATCTCTAGCTCCCTCCTCCTCATCCTCCAGTCCCCACCCACCCCGTCCACCTCCCCGGAGCCTTGGCCCCCCTCGTGCCTTCATCCTTCGCTCCTTCCATGCATCCGTGCTCCTTCCTCCTTGCACGTTCCTCCTCCATCCCCCACCGCACTCCTATAGATCCTCCATGCTGTTCAAACTGCCCGTCCTACTTGTCGTCTCCTCCTCCGCCTCCTTCTCCAGATCATCACAACAACCACCAGCAGCATCAGCAGCAGCATCAGCATCATCGTAATCATCAGCAGCAGCACCACCCCTATCGTTGTCAATCTTACCATCACCACCATCATAAGCAACATCATCCTAGTCACCGCCATGATCACATCACCATGAATACCTGCATCACCATCATCAGTGGCATCGTCACCATCACCTCCATCATCATCGTCGCGTCCGAATCATGTTCCTCATCCCCGTCCAAGTGACACGTAGATTCATCATTTGTTGCTTTGTAGTTTTCTTCGCTGCTCCTATTCACCACATCATTGTTCCATCGTCCCTGTTTCATCGTTTCCACACGTCGTCCATGCCCAGCCGTCTACATAATCATGGCCTTCACCACCAAAGGTATGATGACCATGAGTCATTAAGAACAGACTCAGCATTATCAGATGCATCCTTATCCTGATCCCTCCACATCCTCCTCATCACTCCTTCTCATGCACACCTCCTCTTGCACATTCACAATCATTCCGCCTTCCCACTCATCCTCCCTCATTATCCGCCGCTGCTTCCACTATCAAACTACTCATACTCCCACTCTCATATTCCCAATCATCCTCTTCCTTCTCCTCTTTATCCCCATCATTTTCATCCTCATCATTCCCCGCTTGCTCCTCCTCCTGCCCCTCCTCATCCTAGTCCTCCTCCTCCTCCCCATCCTCACTCGCCCATATCCTGCAAAAACCCTCCCACCAAACAAACAACCATGTCGCCCAAAACTGGTCATGCCGCGTCACAGGCGGAACCATCGAAAGGTGCCACTCAGTGTCCAAGAATCAAATGAGCGTTTGGGTGCCCGGTTGGCTACTAAATCAAGCAAAGGACGGCGCACGCACCCCGCCTGAGGGAAGAGGCTCGCCCACCTCGGTCCGTAAAACTTGTGCTCGATCGCGATGGTGCCCAAGACAATGTATCTTATGTCTTTGACTCCTCAACTGGCCAACTTGTTTTTGTTGTTCATCTCTCTCTCTTTCTCTTTCTCTCTCTCTCTCTATCCCTCTCTCCCTCTCTCTTTTTCTCTCTCTCTCTCTCTCTCTCTCTCTTTCTCTCTCTCTCTTTCTCTCTCTCTACATATATGTATACATAAATACATTATGCTACTATCCCAAAGGCGCGAGGCGTATCGTTATGCTGGAAAAGGACTGATGAATGGTCAGACCCGGGCGCGCCCAACGACGCTGCCGTCAGCTCGACGAGCGGGCCTTTTTGGCCAGTGCGCGTGACAGGCCCTGACGCTGAGCTTCGCGACGCTGCACCTTGTCAAGGTCGTCGATCTCAGCCACCTGCTTCTGAGGTAGCGGGGGGTAACGGGGTGGGGAAGCACGAATGGCCTCTAGCACGCTGACCGGCGGGAGTCACAAAGGTGCGACAACAACCAAAGCCGTGAACCGAAACGGTGTGGCACACCAATAACGGTGAGGCACAACGGGCATGTCGCGTTAGCGCCAGCGTATCTTCTCTGTAAGCACCAGACATAATGTCCATTCTGAGCTGCTGGACACGTGCCCAACTGGTCGGGCGCCCCCTCCGACCAGAGCGGCGCCGCCACGGTCGCAGCAAGAGTGGGTGAAAAACAGCATGCTCACGGCATTGGCCCAGCGCTCTGGGGGGTCGCTGATGAGCGCGCCCCAAGCTCTCGCGGTGCCCTCCGACGGCGGCAGCGTGCTGCACACGGCAACGAGCTCGCGGAGCTCGCCCAGGTCGGAGACGAGCACGCTGACCCAGGGCAGGCGCGCGCCGCCGGGCCGCGCGGCGAGCAAGGCCAGCAGCGCGGGCGGTGAACTTCGCACCAGGCGCCCCAAGTAGCGGAAAAATCCTCCTTCTCCTCTTCCGCCTCCTCCTCCTCCTCCGCCTCCTCCTCCTCCTCCTCCTCCTCCTCCTCCTTCCTATTACCATCATCATCATCATCATCATCACCATCATCAGCATCACCATCATCATCACCATCATCACCATCATCATCATCATCATCATCATCATCATCATCAGCAGCAGCTCCTTCAGCTCCGAAAAACTATGCTGCCGAACAAGAACAAATCAATCGCGGTTGAATTTGACCCGCTTTCTCACATGAATACCTGGCAGCCCCGTTTCCGAAAAGGCCGAACCGCCGGGCGTCGCCGACTCTCCTGAGCGCCCGCAGGCACGCGCCATTTGAGCACCTCCGGAGGTCGCCTCGCGGGGACGACCGCGTGCACGCCGACGAGGAGGCGGCTGCGGACCAATCGAGTGCACGAGCTGGGTCGTCAAGCCGGCGCCCACGACCGCGTGCACGCCGACGAGGAGGCGGCTGCGGACCAATCGAGTGCACGAGCTGGGTCGTCAAGCCGGCGCCCACGACCGCGTGCACGCCGAAGAGGAGGCGGCTGCGGACCAATCGAGTGCACGAGCTGGGTCGTCAAGCCGGCGCCCACGACCGCCGAGCGAGTGCTCTGCTCGCCAGAGGCCCGTAGCTCATGGCCGCCTGCTGCCGCAGGTGGTCGGCGCCCGGGGCCAGAGGCGCCAGAGGCGCTCACCACGCCGCCGAGGTGCTCACAGGTCTTGACCACCAGCAGTAGCGCCCCAGGGCGGGGCACGGCGACCGCAAGGCTTGCGGTCGCTGCTGTAGCCGTGCGGTGGCCCCGTGGCCTCGGCACGCGCGGAAGCACTCGGATTTGAGACCCTGCCGCTGGGCAGTGAGCTTTGCGTGGCCTCGGGTCCTGTGCCTGCTCCCGAGGAGTCTTTGCGGGGCCGGGAGCCCAAATTGGCGAATCTCCCGGGGCTTGCCGCGTGTCCCCTGGGGTTCCTGGCGGCTTCTCGCGTGACCTCGTTTCGGGCTCAGGATCGCCCCAAGAAGGGCCAAGAGGGCCTCAAGAGGCCCCACGAGGCCCCGAAGACAGTCCAAAAAGAGGCCTCCAAGACGCCCCAAAAAGCTTCCAAGAGGCCTCCCGCAAAAAACCCAAGGCCAAAATCATCGATCGTCCTTCGATTGTTTAAAAGGCTTTTTGGCATTCTCGCCTTCGCTCTTTGGCGGCCCTAGAGGCCCCAAGATCGCCCCAAGACTGCCCTAAAGGCCTGCCCCCAAAACGGCCCAAGAGGGCCCTAAGACGGACCAAGAGGCACCCAAGACGGCCCAAGAGGCCCCAAAGACGGCTACAAGAGGGGGCCCAAATGAAAGAATCCAAACGGACATTCCGAGGCCTCGACCCCGAGATGCTCCCAGAAGGCCCCAAGGGGCCCCTAAGAGGCCCCGAAAAAGGCTGCAAGAGGTCCCCCAAGAGGCCCCCAAGAGATCCCCTAGGAGCCCACAAGAAGCCCCCGAACTGCCCCTAAAGGCCCCCGAAGGCGCTCCGTAAAGACCCCAATAAGTATCCGTGATAACTCTGACCCACAACTCTGGCATGGTAGCGGGATGAGCCAAAGGCCGTTACATATACACATATAGACATCGATACATATAAACATGCATATATGTATTGTATACATAAATATATATATATATATATATATATATATATATACATATGTGTGTGTGCATACAAACATACGTACATACAGACATACATATACACACATATATGTGTGTGCAGATACACATATAGACATGTGTACAAATGTACACAATTACACGTACAAACATACTATATATGTGTGTACATATATACATATACAAATACAAGCATGTATAATTGTTTGCATGTGTACATGTTTGTATGTATGTATACATGCATAATTACATGCATACATACCTAAATGCAGACGTGCATACATACATGCATACACACATACACACACGCAAGCACAAGCACTTCCACATACAAAAAGCACAAAAACAGAGACATCCATCCATACACGCATACATGCATACATACAGACATACATATGTGCATACATGCATACATACATACCTGCATGCATACATGCACGCGCGAATACATACGTGCATGCATATATGAGTACATACATACATAGACACATACATACATACGCACGTGCATACATGCATACATACATACATGCATGCATGATTGCATACGTATGTAGGTATAAAAGCGTGTTTATGTGTGTATGTATACTTGTATGTATAATTGCGTGTATGCATGTATGCATGAATGCATGTATGGATGGATGGGTGGACGCATGGATGCCTGATTGTATGTATGTGTATGCACACACACATATGTACATATGTATGTGTGTAAATGTATGTATGTGTATATGTATGTGTGTGCATGCATGCATGCATGCATGCGGACATACTTACATACAAACGTACAAGCATGCACTCAAGGATACATACAAACACACCTACCGACCTACAGACCTACCGAACTACATACATGCATGCAGGTGTAAACTCAAATGCACACACATAACATACATACATACATACATACATACATACATACATACATACATACATACATACATACATACATACATACGTGCATACGTACATACGTACATACGTACATACGTACATACGTACGTAATTACATACCTACATAGGTACGTGCGTACGCACATACATACATGCATGCATGCATACATATATACAAGCATGCATGCATACATACATACATACATACATACATACGTACATACACAGGCATACATGTAGACAGACATACATACGAACGTACATGCATGCATGTATCCACTAAAGCATACATACGGTCACTCGTGCACGTATATACATACGTTCAGCCTGCACACATGCATACATACATACAAACATAAATACGCATACATGCATGCATACATACATACCTAAATGCATGTATGCATGCATGCATGCGTATATGGATACATACACACGCTTACATACATGCATACGTGCATGCATACACCTACAAATACACATTTTTGACTGCATACATACATACAGACATACACGTTCATACATATATAGTCACATACGGCCACCTTGCGGGTGATAAGGAAGCTCGGCGGGGGGGCAACGTGTCATTCTATCAATATCACTATCGACCTGGCTAGCGATCTCACGATCGATATCACTATCGATAGCACGGTAGATATTAACATTACGATCGACATCGCTACCGATCTCGCTATCCATCTCACTACCGATCTGACTATTAATATCACGAAGGATCTCAGTATCGATCTCACTGCCGACCCCACGACCGATATCACTATCGCCCTCACGATCGGTCGCGCTATCAATCCCACTACCGATCTCACTACGGGATACCGAAGGGACACCGACGGGACTCCGACGCGACACCGACGGGACACCGACAGGACACCACGGCGGGACCAACGTGTCACACTATCGATGTCAATATTGATCTGATTGTCGATCTCACGATCGACCTCATTATCTTTAGCACGGCCGATATTACGACTCATATCAATACCGATCTCGATATCCATGTCACTTTCGATCTGACTATCGGTATCACGATCGACCTCACGATCGGTCTCACTATCGATATCACTAACGATGTCCGTATTGATATATCACCTCGGGACACCGACAGGACACCGACGGGACACCGACGGGACATCACTGTCGATCCCACGATCGATCTCATTCGATCGATCTCACTACCGATCCTACTACCGACATCAATCGATATCACGATCCCTCGAATGATCGATCTCACGACCGATATCACGATCGATCTGACAATCTACCTCACCATCGATTTCATAATTCACACAATTATCGATCTCAATTTCCATCTCACTAACGATCTCAGTACCGATACCAGCAACTATCGACCTCACTATCGGTTTCACGATCGATCTCACGGTCGATCTCACGGCGGGACACCGACGGGACACCGACGGGACACCGACTGGACACCGACGCGACACCGACGGGACACCACGGCGGGACAAACCCGGCCACCGCCAGCCTACCAGGGGCCAACCTACCAGGGGAAGGGGCGGTGATTTGGCCGGGCGGCGCCCTAGCCTGATGGGGTTCAGTCCTCGCCCGCCCACGCAGCTTCGCCTCGCCCGCACGTACGAAACGAACAGGAAACCGAAACCGATTTCCCTGCGGGGGGCTCTCCGTTCAACTGCGATCTCACCCCCTCGCCTCCGATGTGTGTTTATCCTCTCGTTCTCTCTCTCTCTCTCTCTCCCTCTCTCTCTCTTACACTACCTCGTCGTCGATCGCGTATGGTTTCCACGCTCTTTCGCCCGCATACGCGAATTTCTCGCTGAACCACGCAATCAACTGCTCACTCACACAGCCGCCCAACCACCCGCCCGACCACCTACTCCCTCCTGTACGCAGTTGACCTAGCACCCACCACATGTGTTTCCCTTTTTCTCTCCCTCTATCTCCCTCTAGTTCTCATTCTTTTTTTTCTGACTCTCCTTCTCTCTCTCACACACACATGTATTTCCCTGTACGCCGTCTCCCTATATTTTGTTTTCTCTCTCTCTCTCTCTTTCTCACTCTTTCTCTCTTTCTCTCTGTGCGCAACCAGGACACGAAGCTCCCAGCAGTTCTCTGTCCTTCCTACCCACCTGTCGTCGAAACATCGGTAGAGGAAAGAGGTGAACGGCTGCGCCACTCAAGTACTCGTGCTGTTGATAACGACATGACATATGGTCGGCACCGGCGTATTCGAGATACCTTGTCTGTGGCGTTGTGACCGGAATACAAAGTATCAGCGTACCAGTTGCGCCACATGTGCAGTGCAATCACTATAAGGTGTAAAAGCATGGGTAAAACTCATATCGTAGCGTCTCGCTTCCGCACGTCGAGTGCATGCATCTAACCATTGCTGAACATCCAGGTGAAGGACACCGCGTCCCCGACTCGAAAATCGTTCATGTCGCCCTCGTCGACGTAGGCATCGCATTGAAAGCCATGCTGTATCCACGTATTCTCTACGGAACCGTAACCGTAGCGGCGGTTGACCCACTTGACGCGCCCGTGCAAAATGTCCTCTTCCGGCCCCGGTGGTCCTTCAGGCTGCATTTGTCCTCGAAGCTGTGGCTCTCCTCGCAGCTCTGCTTGTGGTCGTCGAGGCTGGGCTGATAGATCAGCCGGTGGTCCTCGTGGCCCTGCGCGTGGCCCTCGTAGCTCACTTTGTGGCCCGCGTAGCTCGGCTGGTGGTTCTGGTGACTCATCTAGAAGTACTTGTAACCCTGCGAGTGGCCCTTGTAACCCAACTTGTGGTCCTCGTTGTTCAGCTGGTGGCCCCCCGTAGCTCTGCTGGAGGTTCTCGTAAGTCAGCTCGTGGTCGTGGTAGCTCTGCTGGTGGCTCTCGTAGCTCAGCGGGTGCCTCTCGTAGCTCAGCCCGTGACACTCGTAGCTCCGCTTGTAGCTCTCGTAGCTCAACCGGTGGCTCTCAGGGCGCTCGCTGCTTGCGGCCCTCGTAGCTCAGCTTGCTGCCCTCGTAGCTCACAATGTGGCCCTCGTAGCTGTGCTGGAAGCTCTCGAGGCTCTGTTCGTGGCTTTTGTGGTTCAGCTGGTGTCAATCATAGCTATGACAGAGGCCCTTGTAGCTCCACGGTCTCTGCTCAGCCCGTGGCCCTCGTAGCTCAACTGGTGGTCCTCGTAGCCTTGCGCGCGGCCCTGTTAGCCCAGCTTGCGATCCTCGTAGCCTTGCGCGTGGCCCTTGTAGCGCAGCGTGTGGTCCTGGTTGCTCGGCTGGTGGCCCCCGTAGCTTGCTGGAGGCTTTCGTAAGTCAGCTTGTGGTCAAGCCAGCTCCGCGGTGGCTCTCGCAGCTCAGTTGGTGACTCGCGAGGCTCAGCCTGCGGCCCTCGTTGGTCCGCTGGTGGCTCTCGTAGCTCAGCTGGTGGCCCTCCCAGCTCTGGCGGAGGTACTCGTAGGTCAGCCTGTGGCCCTGGTAGCTCCGCTGGTGGCTCTCGTAGCACAGGAGGTGGCCCTGGTAGCTCCGCAGGCGGCTCCGCAGCTCATGTGGTGGCTAGTGTGGCCCAAACACCCTAATACTAGCACGCTGACACGAACACCCGAGCCCTATCCCATACGCCCTGACACGCCCACCCAAACAATCTGCCGCTTGAAGTCTCCAGACCCTTCCCAGAAATCCATCGCAATTTCGCGCTGAGCCCGACGGTGGCGACGAGGCGCGCTCACAGGTAATCCTCCCCCTGCCCCCACCCCCCTTCCACTGCCCAGGGGGGACGAAGGATGGGAAGGGCCAAGAGGGAGGGGGGTCCGAAACCCCCACCCCCCTCTTTTGAAGGGAGACGAGGGGAGGTCCAAAACCAATCCCCCCTTGAAAGGGGTGAGGAGGAGGAGGAGGAGGAGGAGGAGGAGGAGGGAGGAGAGAGGAGGGAGGAGGAGGGGGGCGGGCCGTGCCAGCACATCACCCCTTCTCAATCAGAGGGGTAGCCACGTGCGCTGCTTCCCAGTCGGGCGGGACCCCCAATGGGCACAGGCAGGGGGAATCCAAAGGCGGTACGGCGGGCGTGCCCTCCTGACCTCCCCGATCCATGCTCAGGGCCCTCTGGGGCCCACCCCTCTTCCTGCTCTTTCTCCTCCTCCTCCTCCACCTCCTCCTCCTCCTCCTCCTCCTCGTCGCCAGTCGGTCCCGTTTGGAGGACCGATGTCTTGGGGCAGTGCCCAGCAAGGACTCCACATACCTTGAGTCCCTTGAGACACGCTCAACTGGCGAGTGGGTGGGACACCCTCGCCCTGTCTCTCCCGATGACGCCGCCTGCTTCTGACTCTTCGCCTTCGGCAATTCGCCCGCGTCCCGCTCGTCTCGGCGAGTCGCGGGGTCGTCCTCCGCTCTCCCCGCTTGCCCGCCACCCTCCCCTTCCTGCTTTCGGCGCGCTCGGACGTTCTGGTCTGCCTTCCTCTTCCTCCACCTCCTGCTTCCCCTTCTCTTCTTTGTGTTCGTTGTTTCGCTCTCTCTCTCTCTTTCTCTCTCTCTCTCTCTCTCTCTCTCTCTCTCTCTCTCAATATCTCTCTATCTTCCACCATATATATATATATATATATATGTACGCATGTATAAATATCGGCCAGCCCCCGTGTGGGGCCACCAGGCTGTAGGGCTCAGCTTCGCAGGTTCCTGTACCAGTTGCAGCTTCCAGTTTCCACTGTTACAATTCTGTTCCTTGCTGCTTACATTTCCTTGTTGACTTCTTGCTGCTTACTGTTCCTTGTTGATGGACCGCGCGAGGGGGGAGGCCCAAAACGGGCATATTTACCACGACCTGGGAGGGTTCTCGGAATTCCTGGGGAGGTAAAATTGACACCCCTCACGCAGATCGGCGGGGTCAGGGTCCAAAAACACAAAGGATTTGCCACATTTCTGGCATTTGCTACACCCCTCACGCAGATCAGCGGGGTCAGGGTCCAAAACACGAGGGATTTGCCACATTTCTGACATTTGCTAGCACCCCTCACGCAGATCGGCGGGGTCAGGGTCCAAAAACATATGGGATTTGCCACATTTCTGAAATTTGTTGACACCTCTCACGCAGATCGGCGGGGTCAGGGTCCAAAAACAAACGTTATTTCTGAAACTCGGTGGCACCCCTCACGCAGATCGGCGGGGTCAGGGTCCAAAAACACTGGTGATTTGCCACATCTCTGAAATTCGGCAGCACCCCTCACTCAGATCGGCAGGGTCACGACGTCTTACCAATCGCCAGGAATGGTAACCCCTTTGGTCATCTATTGGTTTTGCTCATTACGAGTCGGCCTCGCGTGAAGTTCCGATCCTGCTTCACGACAGCGCCCAGGCCTCATAACATAGCTCTTGCTTGGCGCATTCTCCGAGAGAGGGGGCCGGCGGCTGGGGGCGAAGCCCTCACGGATACATCACCTCGAATTATATATATAGATATATATGTGTATATATGTATATATATGTATACACACCAAACATATACGTATGTTTAATATCCCTCTTGCATATAGTATATCTCGCTGCTCTGTCTATTCTCTCTCTCTCTTTCTCCTCCTCCTCCTCCTCCGCCTCCTCCTCCTCTTTCTCCTTCTCCTTCTCCTTCTCCTGCTCCTCATCGGAATCATCATCCTCCTCCAGCGCAATCTCCCAAGCGCGCGGGACCTCGACGACGACGGCGGCGGCCACGACGACGTCGACGACGACGACGACGCCCAGACGGCGACGACAAAGACGACGACGACGACGACGCCCAGACGACAACGACGACGACGACGACGACGACGACGACGACGACGGCGACGACGGCGACGACGAACAGAAGCCAGCTCCGAAGGCGGCGAGCTGCTGCAGGCACTCGGGCGTGGGGTTGCAGGGGTTATAGACCAGGTAGCCGCCCCCTGCCAGGGGGGCGTTTACTGCAGGGAAAGAGAACGAGGACCATGACCAATCGCTGAGGGTGAGAACAACGAGGAGGAAGAGGAGCAGGGGGAGGAGGAGGAGGGAGGAGGGAGGAGGAGGAGGAGGAGGAGGAGGAGGAGGAGGAGGAGGAAGGAGGTAGGAGGAGGAGGAGGAGGAGAGGAGAGGAGGAGGGGGTGGAGGAAGAGGAGGAGGAGGGGGAGAAGAGGGAGGAGGAGGAGGAAGAGGAGGAGGAGGAAGAGAAGGAGGAGGAGGGAGAGGAGGACTCATGTTTGACCTCGACTGGGCCCACCGCGGAGCGCAACTAGCCAGAAGCGCGGGACCTGCCAGCTTGCTCCGCTGAAGAGGGCCCCAAAGCCTGCCTAAAGACAGGCCCGAGGCACGAGACACTGCATCGCACGTGACCGACCTCTGCGGTGGCAAAAATCCAGGGCCAGGACACACGGAGCCGTGAACCCCGACCAAGTCGCAGGCCTAGAGATTGACACCAACACCAATTTCGGCGGTGTGCCTCCACCGAGGGAAGAAGATCCAGATCTCGGTGATGGTGGTAATATTCTGGCCTCCAGGGTGGCCGAACTATTACCACCAACACCAAAAATCTAGGATCACCTTCCCCCTGTGGAGGCAACCCCCTGCCTTGGTGCTGGTGCCAATTTCCAGGCCTCCGACCAAGCGCGGGCGGCTCAGGAGGGCCTGAAAAGGGCACAGAGGCGGCAGCACTGCACCAGAGCGAAAAGGCCAGCAGCCCTGGCTCGACTGGCCAAGCAAGCTGGGCTGAAATCAAGGGGCACAAGGACACACAAATAAATACACACACATAAAAACATGCCCCATATTTTCCTATAGTTTCTAGGTTTTTGTTTTCCCGCCCAATTCCCATAGTTTCCCATATTTTCTTGGGGGTCGACGATTAATTGTGTCTGTGTGTTTTTCCCCTCCTGATGAAGAGGCCACCGCTGAGGCAGCGGTGGCGGCGTGTGGAGCGAAGGGAAGAGGCTGCAGCCTGTGCATCGTGTCAGCTCCCCTTCAACGGGGACTCCACCGACGGGTACTCTGGCCAGTGACCCAGCGAACCCAACCCTCCCCGATGTGGGCAACGCTGCAATGCCAGAAAGAGGCCCTAAAATGGCAACTTTCGGCAACTTTACAAAGTACCCATTAGTGAATACCCGTTACGGTTAGGTCGGGCATGTCCTCCTACAGGCGGGCGTTGGGCGAAAAAAAAAACAAAAAAAAATGCTCAAACATAGTCAAAAAATAATCGAAACATCGTCCCCAGCCTATTCTCTGACTATTTGTTTTGAATACTCCTCCTGTAAAGGGACAGGCCCGACTGAACGTCACGGTGCCGCTGATCGTGCCAGCCTCGCCATCGTTACGGTGCCGCTGATCGTGCCATCCAGAGGCTGGAGTAGGGGACCACATGCGAACCCTACCCCTACCCCCCACGACTTCTGAGGGGGAGGGTGGGGTTCACTTCGCTCGGGAGCTCCCGAACGGAGTAAACCCCACCCTCCCCCTCAGAAATCGTGGGGGGCAGGGACAGGGTTCGCATGCGGCCCCCTACTCCAGAGGCTGGATGGCCCGAGGCCCGCGCGGCCGGGCAAGACAGTCGGCGGGCTCGGCTCCACCACCCGGGGGTGAGAGGACACCACCACGGGCGGCACGAGGCCTGCGCGCGCCAGGAGGGGCGCGCGACGGGGGGGCCGGGCAGCCTCCTCGCTCCTCCTCCTCGCTCCTCCTCCTCGCTCCTCCTCCTCCTCCTCCCTCCTCCTCCTCCCCCTCCTCCTCCTCCTCCTCCTCCTCACCCTCCCTCCTCCTCCTCCTCCTCCTCCTCCTCCTCCTCCTCCTCCTCCTCCTCCTCCTCCTCCTCCTCCTCGCGGAGGTCCTGCGCCACCCGGCGCAGGACCCGCACGGGAGAGCCGGCAGAAGAGGCGGCAGCGCTGAAGGGCTGAACGCCACTCCCCCGACCAGCGCCCCCCCGACCTCTCCCCCCCCCGCCTCGGATCGGAGCTGTGCTGCCACACGACGTAGCTCAGCAGACTCCGTCCGTTGCCGGGGCTCGTCGTCCGAGCCGGGCGGCGGCACGGTGTCAGCGAAAGCCAGAGTGTCAAAACAGGCCATGCAATTTTCGAGATCGACAGTCGCAGTATGCTTCTGCGCCGAGTAATGTGGATGCTTGCCCTTGCACAAAGCAATCCATCCATAGCAAGCAGCACGCGACGGAGGCACGACACATTCGACGCCAAGGCCCCTTACCGAAGCCCCTGAGGAATGACATGTGCATCAAAGAACAAGGCACAGAGCCGTCCAGGCAATCGAAAGCCACAGCTCTGTGACACAAGGCGTGCTGCCTGGCGGCGCGAAGCCTGGAGTCATTCACACAAGAACCTGGAGGGGGATGCTCTCCAGATCTCCTGCCTTTCAGGCAGGCTACGCAACGCCACATGCCAGACCACCTCCCCCACCTGCGGGGCACGTGGGAAGAGCGCGAGGGAGGAGCGGGAACCACAGGTTGGGCGCATGGCACTTCCGAAAGACAGCTTCGGCCGGAGCGAGAGCAGATTCGCCGATACAACATGCAATACGCTCTCGCCGCATCTACAAGTTTAGACACACCTTCCATGTCACCTGGGGCCGATGGGTGAAGCTGAAGCCCAAGTGCGGAACCATGGTCCGCATCAGCAATTCCTTTCCTAAGAAAACGCTCACGGGTCGAAAAAAAACTATCTCTTCAATGTCGAGGTGGGCTTTCACCTTGACTACATCATCGATCCGTTTACCCTCAAACGTGCTGGCCTGCACGATCATTCCAGAGTAAGCCCTCTCCGCTGAACACCGCTCAGGAACAGGAGGGAGACTCTGGTGAATAACCATGGCACAGCCTGAACACAAGGCGGTACTGAAAAGCACAGACTGAGAGACTGAACCCATCGGTCGGAAGAAGTAGGTAGAAACATGAAGCAGGAAGGCGTTGAAAGTAGACTGGGTGTCCGCCCGCCCCCTAGGGAGGACGGAAAAGGTGAAGCCACTCGATCGTTGAAGTAGGAAGGCGCTCAAAGTGGTC